GTGTTTACCTTGTCAGATAGAGAAGAAGGAAGCAGTGCTGGATTAGTAAACTGTATATAAAATGACAGTGTGTGCGTTATCAGATAGAGAAGGAGGAAACAGTACTGGATCAGTAATCTGTATATAAGGTGGCAGTGTGGGCCTTGTCAGATAGTGGAGGAGGAAGCAGTGCTGGATCAGTAAGCTGTATATAAAGTGACAGTGTGTGCCTTGTTGGATAAAGGAGGAAGCAGTACTGGATCAGTAAGCTGTATATAAGGTGACAGTGTGTGCATTGTCAGATTTTGGAGAAGGAAGTAGTTTTGGGTCAGTAATCTGTATATAAGGTGGAAGTCTGTGTATTGTCAGATAATGAAGGAGAAAGCAGTGCTGAATTAGTAAGCTCTATATAACGTGACAGTGTGTGTCTTGTCTGATAGTGGAGGGAGGAAGCAGTGCTGGATCAGTAAGCTGTATATAAGGTGGCAGTGTATGCCTGGTCAGATAGTGGAGGAGGAAGCAGTGCTGGATCAGTAATCTGTATAGAAGGTGGCAGTGTGTGTCTTGTCATAGAGTGGAGGAGGAAGCAGTGCTGGATCAGTAATCTGTATATAAGGTGACAGTGTGTGTCTTGTCTGATAGTGGAGGAGGAAGCAGTGCTGGATCAGTAATCTGTATAGAAGGTGGCAGTGTGTGTCTTGTCATAGAGTGGAGAAGGAAGCAGTGCTGGATCAGTAAGCTGTATATAAGAGGTTCTGGAGCAGAAGTACTTCATGACTTTTATGATCTGAATAGAGATGGGTGGGTTGAATGGGTGGTGTGATTCTTACTGGTAACAGGCTCTCTATCTAACATGTAATATACTGTACAAGGATGAGTGTGTGTTATCTACTGCTGGAGTATATATATATATTATATTAGATACGGAGTAGACAGGCCTCTTACCTCTTCACATAAATGTCGCTCATTTTCTCCCCTGTCATGCTGACATCATCGAGGATGACATCACGTGTGTTCCAAACTATGCAGCGCAAGAAAAACCTGGAGGAGAGACAAGAATTAAATACACGTCTTTTATTAATTTTATGACTGCATTCACATCTGTTCATTGCAGTGCACTGTAGTGCCGCTTTGTGAAAATCACCAACAACATCTCGGTTGGCCTAGTGCTGGTCTGTACATAGCCTGAGTAAACAGCAGAGCTGTGGGAGGGACCCAACAGGCTCCACCCACTACAGGCTGCCTGCAGAAAACTACAGGAGGGGGCAGAGATGAGACCAGTCACCCTGCACAAAGGGAGAGAGCAGCAGTGGGCGGTCTTTATTACAGGAAGCCAAAGTCTCACAATGGATTATTGCACAGACCTGAAAGAAATATACAAAGCACACCAGTCAGTCTGGAGGAGTAGGCAGTCCTAAGCAGGTTGTTTATGCATGAAGACCACCCGCATGTGATGCTGAATATCCTTGATTGAGAGAAGTGAAATACGGGCAGCACAGTGGCTAAATGGTTAGCACTTCCGCCTGGCAGTACTAGGGTCGTGGATTTGAATCCCAGCCACGGCACCACCTGCCTGGAGTTTGCATGTTCTCCCTGTGACTGCGTGGGTTTCCTCCGCGTACTCATGTTTCCTCCCACACTCCAAAGACATGCTGGTAGGTGAATTGGCTCCTGTCTAAATTGTCCCTAGTATGTGTATGTATGAATGTGAGTTAGGGACCTTAGATTGTACGCCCCTTGAGGGTTAGGGACTGAAGTGAATGTACATTATATATATGTAAAGCGCCACGTAAATTGACGGCGCTATAAAAGTACCTGAAATAAATAAAATAAAATACAATGAAAGGGGCAGGCCAAAGACTAGATAATGGTGGACATCCTCCAGCCAGAAAATGAAGCAGACTATCTGACTTCAAAAGGAACACCTTTCATCCATATGGCGCCTGAGTAAATATGGCACTTTAATTGTGCCACGAAGAGGTCATAAACATATACAGAGTATATATAAACTTCCAAAACTTTTAAAAAAATGAATAATAAATTGTATAATAAAAAAAAAAACTTTAGCACAGTATTGTGCAAAAGTTTTGTGTAAAGAAATGTTGTAAAGTAAAAAAGAATGTTTTCAAAAATATATATTTTTCATTTTTTTATTTTAATCATATTTCAGAATGCAGAGTGTGCAAACAGAAGCAAAATCTAAATCAAATCAATATTTGGTGTGCCTACCCTTTGGCTTAAAACCAGCATCTATTCTTACACTTGCACACTATGTACACTTGCACAAAGTCAGAGATTTGTAAGATTCAGGTAGGATTCAGGAGTCAGGTGTATGATTAACCACTTATACCAAGCAGGTGCTAATGATCATCAATTTCATATGCAGGTTGAAACGCAGTCATTAACTGAAACAAAAATAGCTGTGTAGGAAGCTTACAACAGGGTGAGGAACAGCCAAACTCTGCTACTAAGGTGAGGTTGTGGAAGACACTTTCATGTTGCAGGTCACACACCATGGCAAGACTGAGCACAGCAACATGACACAAGGTAGTAATGCTGCATCAGCAAGGATTCTTCTAGGAAAAGACTTCATAGCAGACTGGGATTTCAAAATGTGCTGTTCAAGCTCTTTTGTAAAAGGCAAAGAAACAAGCAACGTTGAGGACCGTAGACGCAGTGGTCAGCCAAGGAAACTTAACGTAGCAGATGAAATAGGGGGAGATTTACTAAAACTGCAGCACTCAGAATCTGGTGCAGCTATGCATGGTAGCCAATCAGCTTCTTACCTCAGCTTGTTCTATTAAGCTTTGACAATAAAACCTGGAAGCTGATTGGTTTCTGTGCAGAAGTGCAACTGATTTTGCACTCTCCAGCTTTAGTAAATAATGCTTACTTACTTTTTGACATTGGAAGAAGTCCAGAAGTGTCATCAGCACAGAACTGGCACAAACCAGTGGGACCCAGGTACACCCATCTACTGTCTGAAGAAGTCTGGCCAGAAGTGGTCTTCATGGAAAAACAGCAGACAAAAATCCATACCTCCAACATGTAAACAGGGCTAAGCAGCTCAACTATGCACAAAAGCATATGAACTAGGGGGCAGAAAAATGGCAGCAGGTGCTCTAGAGTCAAAAACTTGACATATTTGGCTGTAGTAGGAGGCAGTTTGTTGACCGAAGGTCTGGAGAGCGATACAATAATGAATGTCTGCACGCACCAGTGAAGCATGGTGAAGGTTCTTGCAAGTCTGGGGCTGTATTTCTACAAATGGAGCTGGAGATTTGGTCAGGATCAATGGTGTCCTCAATGCTGAGAGATACAGGAAGATACTTCTCCATCATGCCATAGCATCAGGGAGGCATGAGATTGGCTCCAAATTTATTCTGCAGCAGGGCAACGACTCCAAACATACAGCCAATGTCATTAGGAACTAGCTTCAGTGAAAAGAACACGGAGTCTTGGAAGGGATGGTTTGGCCTCCACAGAGCCCTGATCTCAACATCATGGAGTCTGTCTGGGATGACATGGAGAGACAGAAGGATCTGAGGCAGATTACATCCACAGAAGATCTGTGCTTAGTCCTCCAAGATGTTTGGAACAACCTACCTGCCAAATTCCTTCAAAAACTGTGTGCAAGTCTACCTAGAAGAATTGATGCTGTTTTGAAGGCAAAGGGTGGTCCCACCAAATATTGATTTGATTTGTATTTCTCTTCTGTTCATTTACTTTCCAATTTGTTAATTAGTAAAAATAAACTATTAACACTTCTATTTCTGAAAGCATTCTTAATTTACAGCAATTTTTCACAACTGCTTATAATGGTTACACTGTACAGTATACGTGTGTGTGACCTCTTTGCGGCAATAATTACCCCCGCGCCATATGGGTGGGAGGTGTTCCTTTTGTGTTTAAATTGGAGATGGTATGGTGCCCGGAGAGGAATGTTAGTAAGTAGAGGACAAATCCATTATTGTTGTATTCGGTGGCTCTATGTGACTTTCTGCAGCTTCTAATCCGCATTGTGAGAAGCTCACAGTGTGCAATGAAATCTAAATAAGCCATTTCTGTACAGGAGAGGGAAGGCTGGAGTTCAACTTTAAAGAATGTTGAGAGTTAATCTTCCCCATAGGGTCACAGAGGTATAAGGACCTGACAAAGGTCCTTCCCAACCTATAAAGCTAAAATACATTTTTGCAAACTAGCAAAAGGGAAAGCATATATTATTGGGTTTAATAAGTATCACTGACCAAATGTATTTTTAACTTGCAGATTGCAAGATCTCAGCGTGACCAATCACATTCCCAATCTCAGGCATGAGATAATTTGTGATTGATTTCAACAGGAAATTGCACCGACTGCATCATCGCTACTCTAGTCACCAATCAGCTTTGAGATTACTTGGGTCACATGAGACATAAGATACAATGTTGTTTCCCGACTCCAGCACATTATTTATTTATTTCAGGTACTTATATAGTGTCGTCAATTTACATACCGTATATTCTCGAGTATAAGCCGAGTTTTTCAGCACATTTTTTGTGCTGAAAAACGGCCCCTTCGGCTTATACTCGAGTCAACGTCTGCAGATGGGGGGGCGCGAGGCTCCGTCAAGGGGGGCGCGTACAGGGGTGGGCAGAGGGCTGCTGTCTCTTACCTGGCTCCCACGATGATCCATCCAGGAAGCGCTGCTCCTTCCGTCACACCGGCCACTCCCTCACTCCTGCCGCTCGGCTCCGCCTCCTCACCGGTGATTGGTCGCCAGAACTGTAGCTCAGGAAAGGGACACAGGCGGCCAATCACGGGCGAGGAGGCGGAGCCGAGCGGACCCGTGAAAATCGAGTGAGGGAAAAGCCGGTAAGTGTGCAGTGCAGAGGTGCTGCTGCAGCCACATATGCTGGCTGCAGCACCACCATACTGCAACAGGGGTCAGCAAGTGTCATTGGTGTCAGTGGGAGGAATAGTGCCGCATCATTGGTGTCACTGATACTAATGATGGGGCATTATTCCTCCCACTGACACCAACGATGGGGCACTATTCCTCCCACTGACACCAATGATGGGGCACTATTCCTCCCACTGACACCAATGATGGGGCACTATTCCTCCCACTGATACTAACGATGGGGCATTATTCCTCCCACTGACACCAACGATGGGGCACTATTCCTCCCAGTGATACCAATGATGGGGCACTATTCCTCCCACTGACACCAATGATGGGGCACTATTCCTCCCACTGACACCAATGATGGGGCACTATTCCACCCACTGACACCAATAATGGGGCACTATTCCTCCCACTGACACCAATGATGGGGCACTATTCTCCCACTGACACCAATGATGGGGCACTATTCCTTCCACTGACACCAATGACGGGGCACTATTCCTCCCACTGATACCAATGATGGGGCACTATTCCTCCCACTGATACCAATGATGGGACACTATTCCTCCCACTGACACCAATGATGGGGCAATATTCCTCCCACTGATACTAATGATGGGGTTTATACTCAAGTCAATAGTTTTTCCCCAGTTTTTTGTGGTAAAATTAGGTACCTCGGCTTATATTCGGGTCGTCTTATACTCGAGTATATACGGTATATATTGTACATTCACATCAGTTCCTAACCCTCAAGGGGCGTACAATCTAAGGTCCCTAACTCACATTCATATACAAGGGCCAATTTAGACAGGATCCAATTAACCTACCAGCATGTCTTTGGAGTGTGGGAGGAAACCGGAGTACCTAGAAGAAACCCACGCAGGCACAGGGAGAACATGCAAACTCTAGGCAGGAGGTGCCATGGCTGGGATTCGAACCAATGACCCTCGTACTGCCAGGCGGAAGTGCTAACCATTTAGCCACTGTGCTGCCCATCACACAGGTATACTATAGAAGACTAGGCCATAAATCTCACCTTTTTGCCTTTCTTGGAGTGATGTTAAACGGCGGCCCAGGAGATCCCAGAGACTTGGGGAACACATCTACCCACATCTGCAGCTTTCCCTAGAATCAAATAGTACAGACAGTGAGGACAACATGGCGGAAGGAATAGAAGGTTTTCTCTCATTGGCTGAGGTGAAGATTGTGACATCATCTTCCCACATCTCCATCCCAGTCAATAGGACCTTTATATCCATTCATAAAAATACAGGGCTTCCTGTGAACGGGGAAGCTCTCAGCCCATATTGATCTTGTTCTGGCAGCAGAGAGGAAGTCCCTGTATCACTGCCAGGACAAAGAGCTGTATACTGTTTGTAGCTGGTGCTACATACAGTTTATGCAACACTATCAGTGGGTGCACCAATTAATGAAAGTAGTTTGTTTTGGCCAGCTTGGCATGTGGATTATGTTAACCTCCCTAGCGGTCTGATTATGTCTATATTTCTGTGCTCAAAGCGGTACATTTTTTTGCATGGAAATATGTTGTTTTTTTATTGTAGGCCTGTAATTTTTAGGAATATCTCACTGAAATCTGTCTGAACAAGAGTCTAGTAAACATCCCGGGTAGGATAAAATTTGAAACACGAAATGATAAATTATAACTTAATAAATAATCATAAAAAAATAATATAATAATAATAAATTTAATTCAATAATATAATCAAACCAAAAACACTGAAATGTGAAATACGGTATAGCGCCAAGTTCACACATCACTGAGCAAAGTCGCAAAATCGTTTTCAGTGTCTGATGATGAATTTCCCCCACGAATCATTATCACTCAATTCTGCAAGTGGTTCTGATTTACTATCGCTGTTCTCTAGCCGGTCTAAAACCGATTTTGACCTAAAGGGACGCTTTTTGGACGCCATGGACGCGTTTCTCAGTTTCCAGGCAGAAAGAACAGTAAAAATGCAGGCAGGGCGCCGGACAAAGCACTCGGGACAAAATGTATGTGAAATGGTTTGATACAGGAATGTTATACTATGTGATTTTAGTGTATTTAGTGAATGTCACTTTTCAAATTTCCCGCCGTTCCATCCCCCGTACGTCCCAACGTCGCAGGGGACGGAACTCAGAAAACAGATGCCGGCATCCGCCGGAGAACATTGCCGGGGACACTGCAGGAGGGACATTGCGGGAGGGCAGGACAAGGTAAGAGAAGAACAGATCCCGGAGCAGCGTCACATGGTAAGCCTGAGTGTAGCTCGGGGTTACCGCTTGTGGTACTGAAACTTTACCCCGAGCTACACTCGGGAATACCACCAGGGAGGCTACGGCAGCCCACTGCAAATAATGGATTGCCAATATACAAGAATGTCCCAAAAATTTGTACGTCACAAAATTTGTAACAGGACACACCACAGTGCACTAAGGTGCATTGTGTCACACTTCAACGCATGTGTGTTGACAGTGCATTGATGTGCTTTTGGGTTATAGTGCATATTTACAGATTTCATACCTGTTCTATGTCCGGCTGCAGGGGGCTATAGAGAGATCTTGTTTCAACGTGTTCACAGACCAGGCCCTGTTTGCGTAGGACGTGTAAAGCCAGACGCTCCTCAGGTGGTCCCAGGTGTGGGTTGGGGAATTTACTGTCATCTGTCAGAGTGAGAAAATGAGTAAATGTGAAATACAATTTATTTTCTATTTATAAAACTGAGATTCCAAAGTTCTCAACAGAGAATATTAACCATTCATAGCAGTCTCTGCACCAGAGGAGCTTACACTCTAACATCCCTTCACAGTGGTGCACTAATATTATTATATATTTATATAGCTCTTACATATTCCTTAGTGCTGTACAGATACAACTAAGCCATTTACATCAGTATTTGCACCAGAGGAGCTAACACTCTAATGTACCCACTCCAGTTACATATATTAAAACATCTGACAGAGTTCGCAACTCATCGCTACTCTATCTGAAGCAAAATGGAACACTTATAATGAAGACTGAATATGTGAGTTCCTGTTTCAGCCTCATCATGAAAGGTCCTCCATGTAAACCTAAGAATGTGATATACAGTGGGGCAAAAAAGTATTTAGTCAGCCACCAATTGTGCAAGTTCTCCCACTTACAAAGATGCGAGAGGCCTGTAATTGGCATCATAGGTAGACCTCAACTATGAGAGACAAAATGAGAAAAAAAAATCCAGACAATCACATTGGCTGATTTGGAAAGAATTTTTTTGCAAATTATGGTGGAAAATAAGTATTTGGTCACCTACAAACAAGCAAGATTTCTGGCTCTCACAGACCTGTACCTTCTTCTTTAAGAGGCTCCTCTGTCCTGCACTCATTACCTGTATCAATGGCACCTGTTTGAACTTGTTATCAGTATAAAAGACACCTGTCCACAACCTCAAACAGTCACACTCCAAACTCCACTATGGTGAAGACCAAAGAGCTGTCGAAGGACACCAGAAAGAAAATTGTAGACCTGCACCAGGCTGGGAAGACTGAGTCTGCAATAGGCAAGCAGCTTGGTGTGAACAAATCAACTGTGGGAGCAATAATTAGAAAATGGAAGACATACAAGACCACTGATAATCTCCCTCGATCTGGGGCTCCACATAAGATCTCACCCCGTGGGGTCAAAATGATCACAAGAACGGTGAGCAAAAATCCCAGGACCACAGGGGGGGACCTAGTGAATGACCTGCAGAGAGCTGGGACCAACGTAACAAAGGCTACCATCAGTAACACACTACGCCGCCAGGGACTCAGATCCTGCAGTGCCAGACGTGTCCCCCTGCTTAAGCCAGTACATATCCGGGCCCGTCTGAAGTTTGCTAGAGAGCAATTGGATGATCCAGAAGAGGATTGGGAGAATGTCATATGGTCAGATGAAACCAAAATAGAACTGTTTGGTAGAAACACAACTCGTCGTGTTTGGAGGAGAGAGAATGCTGAGTTGCATCCAAAGAACACCATACCTACTGTGAAGCATGGGGGTGGCAACATCATGCTTTGGGGCTGTTTCTCTGCAAAGGGACCAGGACGACTGATCCATGTACAGGACAGAACGAATGGGGCCATGTATCGTGAGATTTTGAGTGCAAACCTCCTTCCATCAGCAAGGGTACTGAAGATGAAACATGGCTGGGTCTTCCAACATGACAATGATCCCAAACATACCGCCCGGGCAATGAAGGAGTGGCTTCGTAAGAAGCATTTCAAGGTCCTGGGTTGGCCTAGCCAGTCTCCAGATCTCAACCCCATAGAAAACCTTTGGAGGGAGTTGAAAGTCCGTGTTGCCCAGCGACAGCCCCAAAACATCACTGCTCTAGAGGAGATCTGCATGGAGGATGGGCCAACATACCAGCAACAGTGTGTGCCAACCTTGTGAAGACGTACAGGAAACGTTTGAACTCTGTCATTGCCAACAAAGGATATATAACAAAGTATTGAGATGAACTTTTGATATTGACCAAATACTTATTTTCCACCATAATTTGCAAATAAATTCTTTCCAAATCAGCCAATGTGATTGTCTGGATTTTTTTTCTCATTTTGTCTCTCATAGTTGAGGTCTACCTATGATGCCAATTACAGGCCTCTCTCATCTTTTTAAGTGGGAGAACTTGCACAATTGGTGGCTGACTAAATACTTTTTTGCCCCACTGTATGTAGAAGTGTGTATATAGCATCTCACCGAGATCAGGCAGACTGGTATCATAACCACGGAAGATGATCTTGTTGTTTTTGTAGATGGGAAGTTTGAAGTTACGCTGCTTGGCCAGTACGTGAAGGAGCTGAGATGGTCTTAACTGGTCCCTCCACTTGTTCGGTCCTGATCTGAGAGGAAAGAAGCAAGAAGTTACCCATGTGAATAGGAAGGATAACGTGCCCACCGTTCCCCAATAGTAAACATTTGCAACCAGGCTGCTAATCCTACTTTAAGAGTTTAATTTTGACTTCCCTAACTCTTGCACTAACCCTGCGCACTTGCCAATGAGCATGCTCTTATTGGCCACTTATGTTACATAGTCTGGCTGAAAAAAGAGAAAAGTCCATCCAGTTCAACCATAAAAAAAAAAGTTATCCTATATCCACAGTTGATCCAGAGGAAGGTAAAAAAACCCAGCAAAGCATGATCCAATTTGCTCCTGCAAACCTCCTTCCTGATCCCCCGAGAGGCAATCGGAGATTCCCTGGATCAACTTTACCTATAAATATTAGTATCCAGTTATATTCTGTGTATCCAAGAAAGAATCCAGGATTTTTTTAAAGCAATCCACTGAGCTGGCCAGAACCAACTCTTGAGGGAGTCTATTCCACATTTCCACAGCTCTTACTGTGAAGAAACCTTTCCGTGTTTGGAGATTAAATTTCTTTTCCTCCAGATGTAAAGAGTGTCCCCTTGTCCTCTGTGATGACCTCAGGTGAATAACTCTACACTGAGTTCACTATATGAACCACTGATGTATTATACATGGAGATC